ATGCCAAAAAACTGTCTTTTATGCAAGGATAGTGATCATATGAAGCAATTTATTATCACATAGTTGGTTGGCTCCTTTTTAAATCACAATGACATCAGAAATCACCCAAATGGCCCTTATCAAATGTTTCCATACCCTGGAATGTTTGGCCTTGACACACAAGGTGACACACACGGGTTAAAATGGCAAATAAAAGGTTAATTTTCCACATCTAAGTTTTTTAAAATGGCAATTAGTGTCTGTGTATAAATAGTCAATGAGTTTGTTAGCACTCAGGTGGATGTACTGAGCAGGCTAGATACTGAGAACTGTCAAATTACCTTTGAAACAAGGTAATGGAACTTTATAAAGATGGATATAAAAAAGATATCCAAAGCCTTGAATATGAAAGACAGTACTGTTTTATCATTTATTAGGAAGTGGAAAATTCGAGAATCTCTTTATACTATTCCAAGGTCTGGTAGACAAAGAAAGATTGCAGCCACAACAGGCAGACCAATTGTTCAGGATACAAAGAAAACCCCACAGGTAACCTCAGGAGAAATACAGTCTTTGGAAAAAAAGACAGTGTGGTTGTTTTCTAGGAGCACAATATGATGATACTTGAACAAAAATTACCTGCATGGTCGAGTTGTCAAGTGTCTGTGGTAGTTAACCCTTGTAGATTGCCAGCTTGGGGTTCTCCAGGGCGCGGAGTCTAAGCCCCAGCCTGCATCTTCACCAGGGCCCCTGATGGTGGGGATGGACTTGCTGCAAGCTGGAACCAGGCTGTGGCCCTCAAGTACGCCCAGCTGAGGATGCAGAGACCACTCGCATGAGCAGAGTGCAACAGCAGAAGGCATCAAGAACTCCAGTAGACAAGCCAAGGTCAGGATGGGCGGCAAACAAGCACGGACGGTGGACAAAACTGGCATTGATACACGGGTAGTCAGACACAGGATACACAAGTAGTAAATGATCGGGAGCTCAGAGAACCATGAAGTTGCTCAGGCAATGTGGGCTATACTGGGCGTGTCTTATATAGGCAAGCAAACTAGGAGGCAGGCCAGGAAGTGATGGAAGGGAAGGAAATAAAACTCACATAACAGCAGGCGATGCCCATAGGTGAGTACAGCCAAACCACACATGTGAAGGGAATCAGGGTAGGAAAAGCACTGCAGCAAGGAGGTAAGAATACACAGGCAAGAAACTGTAGGTTCACTTATGACACAACTTGCCAGAAACAAGCCTTTACTGCGCCAATTCCACAAAAAAGCCCGGTTACAATATGTCTGACAACACCTTGACACGCCTCACAGTTTCTGGAACACTGCAATTTGCAGTGACGAGACCAAAATAGAGCTTTATGGTCACAACTATACGTGCTATGTTTGGAGAGGGGCTACAAGAATACCATCCCCACTGTGAACCATGGTGGTGGCTCACTGATGTTTTGGGGGTGTGTAAGCTCTAAAGGCACGGGTAATTTTGTGAAAACTGATGGCAAACTGAATGCAGCATGTTATCAGAAAATACTGGCAATTTGCATTCTTCTGCATGAAAGCTGCACATGGGATGCTGTTGGACTTTCCAGCATGACAATGACCCTAAGCACAAGGCCAAGTTGACCTTCCAGTGGTTACAACAGAAAAAGGAGAAGGTTCTGGAGTGGTCATCACAGTCTCCATGACCAAAGACTTTGCATGACCTGGAGGCAATTTGCCAAGACGAATGGGTAGCTATACCACCTGTGAGAATTTGGGGCCTTATAGACAACTATTACAAAAGACTGACGCTGTCATTGATGCTAAAGGGGCAATACATAGTATTAAGAACAAAGAGTATGCAGGCTTTTGAACAGGGGGTATTTCATTTGTTTACTTGTTGCCATGGTTTGTTTTTTGATTGCGCCACTCTGGTATGGCCTACAGATGAATATAAATACCTTAAAAAAAATAAAAGAAATGTGTTTTGCCTGCTAACATGTTTTCTTTAACCACTTCCTGACCGGCCGTTGCATATAAACGGCCAGACAATGGTACCTCAGGGTCGGGTGGCCGTTTATAAACAGCCTCCCCGCACCCTGCTTTGCGCGCTTCCTGGGAGCGCGCAGCAGCACCGCGATCCGGTGCCCGCTGTGTCCTCCGGACACAGTGAAACACCGATCGTCGGACGGGACCTCTGTACGAGGTCCTGATCATGTGATCACTGATTGGCCAATCAGTGATCACATGCAAAGTAGTAAGCAAGATGTCACTTGTGACATCATTGCTTACTACGTGTGAAATCTGTGAATGATCACAGAGGTCACATGGTACAAGGCTATTCACAACAGCCTTGTACCATGTGACAAGCTGTGACCAATCACAGCTCACTCAGTACTTCTCAATGAGTGCAAGAATGCAGACAGAGAGAAAGAGAAATGATTGCTTTTACATCCTAAATGGGTGTAAAAGCAATCAGTGTAAAAAAAAAAAAAAAAATCTTCATCACCCCCCACAAGTAGTACAGTGTCACCATGGTGACACTGTACTGCTAGGGTGACAGTATGTAAAAAATAAAAAAAAGAAATAATATTATAAAAAAAAAAAATAAAAATGTAAAACAAAATGTTTAAAAATTATAATTTTTGGTTATAAACTAATTTGGATTTTTTTTTTTTAATAAAAAGATAACAGAATACATTTTGGCCAAGATTTATGATGGAATATTATTTATTTGCAAAATTTTATAAAAAAAACACTTTTTTTTCAAAATTTTGGGCCTTTTCCATTTACATAGCAAAACAAATAAAAATCCCAGCGGTGAATAAATACCACCAAAATAAAGCTTTATCTGTCTCAAAAAAATGGTAAAAAATTAATTTGGGTACAGTGTTGCATGACCGCGCAATTGTCATTTAAAGTGTGATAGTGCTGAAAGCTGAAAATTGCCCTAGTCAGGAAGAGGGTAAAAGTGTCTGGTCTGGAAGTGGTTAAAAATGGTACATAATGGTACCAATTCTCCAAGATATGCAAACTTTTGAGCACAATTGTATGTCTTCATGTGAGAGGGCTGGGATATAAGCTGCAATGCAATGTTGCATTTGGAGTTTCTGAGAGATATACAATGGTAGTAGGTGCACACCCAAAAATGAAGACATTCAAAAATGAAGATGAAATTGGCCTTTAATTCATCAGACTGCCATTAATTGACTTGTTATTGAATTTTATGGGTTACTGACTATGGATGTCACCATTTATGCTTACCCTGCTTGACTGTATAAGCCTATATATATATATATATATATATATATATATATATATATATATATACACACACACACTTACATATACACAAGCACACATTTTTTTCACTAGTTTAATTGTTCGAACAATAAGCAGCTATAAGCCCCATGGAAAGTGTACATTCTAGTGTAACACAATAAGGTAATGATATCCTTGACAAGCAGCAGAGAGACTGTAAATCTGCCCAGGAAGCCTGTACTATCAGATTTCTGCGGTTTCAGTGGGTAGTTTGTTCAGCACTTAACATGCAAGCCAGATGTTTGTGGCTCTGAAAGGACATGGTTTGGATTAACCATATAACAGCCACAGCGCCTTGTTTGTTGTATTTATTGCTGTGTGCGTGGCTTCGGGCAGAAAATGGACTGGATAAATAGGTTTGAGAAAAAGAAACTTTGGCTCACACCATGTAGGGAGCTGTTCCTTGGCCAACTCCTGCTAGGGTTCTGCTGTCACTCAACAAGATGCTGTTGCAGATGTGGGCATGCATATGCTCCAAGATTCAATAAAAGGTCAAAATGTGTTAATGCAGTTTTTGGCTAGAGGTAGGGTGCATTGAACCCTACAAGCAGCACTGTTGATGTATAGGCTTGAACTTGACAGTTGCCAAGCTAAGTCAGATGGAAGTAGAGCTTGTGCAGTCTTCAACACTTATGCAGTTACTCAAAAACAGCATTTACAATTGAATTAATATTATACAGGATTTATATAGCGCCGACAGTGTGCGCAGTGCTTTACATAATGAAGGTAGACATTACAGTTACAGTATAATTTGGTACAAGAGGAAACGGAGGGCCCTGCTCATTAGAGATTACAATCTAGGAAGAAGGGTTGAGTGATACAAAAGGTAATAGCTGTGGGGGGATGAGCTGATGGAGAAAGTAAAAAGCAGTTTACTAGTTAGAAGCAGGGTAGACTTCTTTAAAGAGAAGGGTTGTCAGCGATCGTCTAAAGGTGGATAGATTAGGAGATATTCAGACAGATTGGGGCAGGGAGTTCCATTGGATGGTAGAAGCTCAGGAGAAGTACTGGAGGTGAGCATGGAAGGAAGTGACAAGGGAACTAGAGAGCTGAAGGTCTTGGGAGGATCAAAGCGGTTTGGTTAATATTTTGAGACCAGGTTGGTGATGAAGCTGGGGGGCAGAGTTGTAGATGGCTTTGAAAATGTAAGAGATTTTATTTAATCCATGTTTTGGATATAAGGCACATGGGTAATGTTCAGTCACCAATTTACATCCATCCTTTAGGATGTACTGTATGTACTGTATAGCTAAAAACATTTTTTTAGTGTTGGATAGGGTAGGTAAGGTTATTAAACCTGTCAGTTTATTTTTAATTTTTGCTTCCCTTTTAGGAGATTTTCCTTCACTTTCCTGTCTGGATACACAACAGGAAGTTTGAAAAAATCTCTACTAAGTGAGGAGATTCCCTTACACATGCAAGCTTACAATCTAAAAGGGAAGGGCAAGTGATACAAAAGATAATATCTGTGGGGGGATTAGCTGGTTGAGTAAGTTTAGTTGTCCGGTAGACAACAGAGAAAGAAGACTCCTAATGTGGTCCTTCATAGATGGGAGATCTAAGTACCCAAGGTGAGAACCCCAGAAATGTCATCACCTGGACCCTTGGGAAATATAAGAAGCTGCCAGTATCTACTTGGTGGACTGATGTTTTACACGTTTGTTTTGTTTCTTTGTTTTTTTACAAGCATATCAGTACACACATTTGGAAAGGTACCTTTTTTCTTTTCCTTCTTTGTTGCAAGTTTGCTGGCTGGTGCCACCTCAGTTGAAGTGCTGGTAGTAGACTCTACATCAGTAGACATGTTTGGATGATTCACAATCTCAGTATCATTAAAAACACAAGAAAAAAAAAATATAGAACTTCCAGGGTTCAGAGTTCAGTAGATGGCCATTTTTATACCTAAAAGACAAAAATAATTTTAATCCATTAATATAGGTAATTGAAAAATGCAATAAAATAAAATGCTAATGTACTTCTTAGTGGAAACCTGCATAAGACAATAGCAGCCAAACAAGACATTTCATTTAAGGAAAATGTAAAGCCACAGTTTCTTTTTTCTTTCATCCCTGAAGGTGCTGTAAATGTGATCTACCAGTACTTCCTACTGTATCCTCAGAGGCTGGACTTACTCACTAAAGTCCTCCCACTTTTGTCCCATCTCCACCTACTGGGAACTAAGGTTGCCGCCTCATCCCTTTAAACCCGAACACATATTAATTACACAGGTTCTGTCGCTGATTAAGTTGGCAATTAAACTCACTTAGTGCCTAATCTGCATTCAATTAGCCTCAGAACCTGTGCAAATAATATGTGTTCGGTTTTAAAGGGATGAGGTAGCAACCATACTGGGAACACCCATTTTTCAGATACAGAAGAGTTGTTGGAATCCTAGTCACAGGTAAACTTCTGCTACTACCAGCACCTTCTCACTCTCTCACTACACAGAAGTTGTTACCCTTACCTTCCAACTCTAAAGCTTCCTCAAAAAAAAACCTTAGAAAGCTTGAAGCAAATCTGGGGATGGTTGCTATAGAACTCTATTCTACCTCTTTAAAAACACAGCTTTTGTGTTGGCAATTTTCAAAATAATCAAAATGATCAAACCAACCTTACTGTTTTTCAGTTCCAGACTGACCCTGTTGGTGGTAGAGGAACAAACAACCACACACAAATGACATCAAAATTTGATTCATTTTATTCCACAAAGCAGCAGCCTAGTCCCAGCCTAGGGACCGTCCACTCTAAGGCGTTTCAGATCTCAAAGGGCTTAGTCATCAAGTTCCTCGATGACTAAGCCCTAACAGGTGAAATGGCAGGTAAGTGGGCAGTCCCTGAGCAGGGACTTATCACTGTGGCTTCTCGGAATAACATTAAGCAAATTATTATGTCATTGGTGTGTGGCTATTTGTTCCTCTACACCAGTGGCTTCCAAACTGCAGCCCGGGGACTAGATGTGGGCCTTTGCTTACCTTTATCTAGCCCTTGTGGCACTATTTCTCCAGCTGACACCAATGATAGGGCACCATTCTTATCACTGACACTGGCAATAGGACACTATTTCTCACACTGATAACCACGATGGGGCCCTATTTCTTCAACTGACACCAATCATGGGGCACTATTGATCTTTTATTGAAAAGAATCAAGCAACAAAATTTTATACAAAAGTAAAAAACATAAACATAGTAGGGTCATACAACAGAAAACAAAAGGAATGTACATCCATGTCCAGAATATATACAATATTTACATAGTTTACTACCAAAATTTTCAGACTATTGAAAACTATTTACATTAAGCAGCAGAGAGGGCCTAAGAAACACAACCCATCACCTATGTATGCAGCCATTTTTCAAAAATTGAACATCAAGGGAAAAAAAACTAGGGTGATAAGAGATAGACAGCCACACCCCAGAAAGAGACTCCTGGTAGTCAGGGAGGCTTGAAACCCCTCCACTCCTTCAACCAAGTCCCCCGACCCCACTTGTCTCTCTCAAGCACCCATATCTTCCCCACCTCATGCAAAATGCCATCATGGGGCACTATTCCTTCCACTGACACCATCAATATGGCACTATTCCTTCCAGTCAAACCATCGATGGGGCACTATTCCTTCCAGTCAAACCATCGATGGGGCTCTAATCCTTCCACTGACACCATTGATGGGGCACTATTTCTCCCACTGATATCAACAATAGGCCACTATTCCACGCAATAAAACCAATGATGGGGCATTGTTTACTCCTATTGATGCTAAGATATTTTCTACTTCCACTGGTTACAGTGTCCCCTCTAAAGCCTGAAGGACAGTAAACGGACTATTTGGTTTGGAGTTTCCTTCTCTACAGTATACTTAGCGTGTGGACAGATCCTTTAAGGCCTGTCACATGATTCTAAAAAGGAGCCAGAGGGGCAGTGAAAGCTTGGCAATGGAGAACAGACAGTTCTACACATAGTCTCTAATCAAGACACTGTTGTTGGTAGGTTGCTCTGATACATGCAGTAGTTTTTGCAGTCAAAAGCTTGTAGAATGTAGTTGAATTTGTCTAGAAATTGGTAGGTGTGGGCAGGGTCCAATCTCAGGAAATTTTTGCTTCCTCCTCCTCAACCTTTACTTTCCAACACAATAAACCAAAAGATACGCTATTTGTTCTTAAATCCCTCATTCCAAGTTCATGATGCCACCTAACCATAAGTGACGTATTTATGCACTCTTATCGCAATATTTCAAACATTCTGGTATTGTCGGCATCAGTACTTTGCAATATGTATTTTTTTTCAGTTATTGATTAAACAGGGTTATATTTCTAGTTTATGTAAGAGGCGATGAAAGAAAACTGGCCTCAGTTTAATCTCATTTGACATTTTCACCCAACTGGATAAGTGCCACACGGCTCAATAAGGCAAGCATATTGTGTAGGGGGATTAAGAGAAAAGCTTTTCAGTCCTTCAGCTTGCAGTGTGCTTCTCATTCAACTAACACAAAAACTGTACATATTACATAAGTAAACAGACATTATTTCTAGTTAACCAGAAGATTAAAAAAACGATACTGATATAAAGAAAGTATTCCTTTTACATCAACCATCTGATTGGTTTACATTCTTTTTTGACTCATCAACTATTTGACGTAGCATCTGATGTGAAGACTTGTAAATGATGTAAAGATTATACTCCATAAACCGTTATGCAGGTTGGGTTTTCTGCAGGATGACAGTTGCCAGCAGCGCATGTGCAGTCAGTTGGTGTAGTTCGTACAAATCAACTTTTTGACTACAAGTCACATTGCATCCCTGCCGGAGTATGATCAAGAAGGCTGGATTGCCAAGGGACTACTGGAAACCATGAAAGGGTTTACATTTTACATAGAAAAATGTTTAGCTATTGTGGGGTTGATTTATTAAAGCAAATAGGCTGTTCACTTTGCAAGGGAATTTTCCCTTAGCTTGGTAAATGAGGTGAAGCTCTGCAGACTTCCATCAGGTTCAAACAAAAAAAAAAATGTCTTGTGTTTTTTTTTTTTTTGTTATCTTATTTGCGCATGATCAGCACATTTTTGCCAAGTTAGTTTTTACTACATTCACTAAGCTAATGGAAAATGCCCTTGGAAAGTGCATATTCTACTGCAAAGTGAACAGTCTAGGTGCCCTTAGTAAACCAACTCCTATGCATCATCAGGAACATAAAGTTTACATAAACTAGAGAAAAAATGGATTGTTAAGCAACCTTCATTCATGCATTTTCTCCCTAGCTGCTGACCAGTGGCTCCATTAATCGCATATTCCAAATGATCCTCTAAGTAGCCGCAAAATCCACTATCACACATTTTAAGGAAATGTCAAGAGTCATTTTAATTTTTTTTCAACATATGCAAAAAGAAGTCGGCTTGATGTAAGTATACTTGCCAATTGTGTTAATGTTTTAAAAAAAACCTTTAGTGCACTATGTGTACTTTGTAAATATATAATATATATTCTACATATGCAGACTTGCTGCTTTGCCGTGGCTGTGCTATGCTTCTCCTTCTCACAGTGTAAGACTGGCCATAGATGTTTCGGATTGCTTTTCAGAGGTGTCCAACAGGATTTGAGGATGCATTGTTTCTCCTCCTCACCATCTGCTTTAACCCCTTGGACCCCATTACTAGCACTCCACAACTGTGTGCGCTGCAAGCGGTTGTGGTTTGCTTGCAGAGTGGCCCCATTCATTTGCAGGGGGCCAAAAGTGACTAGGAATATAATTCCTGCTGGAGCATGTGCTGTGGCATGTGCACACCCCCAGCAGCTGCCTCTGCGACTAAAGGGGGAGTGGTTGGGGGGGTGAGTGGTAAAACCATGGCTCAACTGCTAGGCTATACTGCCCACCAACTCCTTAGGGGCCAATTTATGACAGAGAATGGATATCACTTATTCACTATCTACTAATGCAGGCCATAGACGGGTCGTTTATCGGTCGAATTTTCGTCCGAACAAAAAAATCGGCCGATATTCACACCGTTAATGGGGCAATGCTGTCGGCCGTTTTTCGCGGATCTTCTCATTCTTTTTATTGGTCATGCTGGAAAATCTACAAAAACCAGCCGTTTGTCGTAAGCATTGGTGGCAGCATCCATGGCAGCAACGACCGATTTTTTGTTTATCGGCCAACAATTCGGCCGATAAACGGCCCGTCTTTGGCCAGCCTAACTCTGAAATTTTTCTTAAAATCATAGCCTGCATTTAGTGGCCAATTAATAAAATGTAGCCCATTGTACTGAGCCTGCACAATCTCAAAGAGTTCATTCTGCTTAGAGTACCTTTTTTTTTGACAGCCCCATTTATTTTTATTGCACTCCGCCGGCTTAGGACATCTAAAGCCAGTGAAGCGCAGTGCACATTTATACAGCATATTGCTGTGCGTTCAACATGAGCAAGTCTCATTGGCTGTCATACGGCCATTAGCCACTAGTGATTTTACTAACGAGGATGAGCTATCCCATACAGGGGCGGACTGACCATTTGGAAACTCGGGCACTGCCCTAGGGCTCGGGGTCAGTAGGGGGCCCCATGAGATGCCCCTGGTACCTTTTTCATAAGCTTTTTTGAGTTTGGGCAAGGACACAGGGGCCCCATGATCCCCTATTGCCTGGGGGCCCCATGAGTTGTCAGTCTGCCCCTGATCCCATACATAGTGGGAAGTTGGATTTCAGTACTCTGGCACCTATACATAAAAATGTTGCTCAATTAGGCTTAGCAAAGCTCGCTCACAGTCAGAGCCGGGAACTGGGATACCTTAGAGACCAGCCTGCTTTTCCCAGCTCAGTCTTGCCCCGGACCCCTGGTTTACATTGAAAAGCAGACAAGACAAAAAAAGCGTATTACGCACAGCTCACAGCGCTGGCGTAAACAATCCCCAGCAAAACCGAATTACGGGAAGATAAACCCAGGAGACTGGAACTTCGCAACAGCTGTCAGTGTTACGTAACTTTCCTCCTTTGAAATATTATGTACCCTCCAGCAATACAACCAAAGTACCTTCTGTGGAGAAGCATCAGATCCCTTGCAAATTCAATATGAGACTCCAATCAACCTCCAGGAATATTGTGTCAGGGTAAATACACAGAGAACGCTGAGATCACTAAGGGTCTGCGAGATTTCATGTAAAGTCTCATGCACACTGGACATGTCTCCTAGATGCCTTTCCTCCTGGCAGCAGCATTTTGGCAGAAAAGAAGACTGACGCTTGTAAATGCGTGTAATGCGTTTAGGTATGGTTAGGCACGTCAAGCACTTGGACGTTAATTCATTGGCTAAGTTATTTTGGCCACTGAAATGAATTAACACTCAAGTACTAAACATGTTTACATGTGTTTAGGCATGCCAAGCGTTTTTTTTCTGCCAAAAGGCTATTGCTCCAGGTGGTGCTGGCAGTGTTTTGTTTTTATGCCTTTAAATGCCTATGTGTGCATGGACACATAGGCTAACATGCTGGGGTGTTTAGAGGCAGAAAAAAAAAAACGACAAATGCCCCTAACATCAGTGTTAAAAATGTCCAGTGTGCATGAGGCCTAAAGAAGAAATCCAATACAAACACCAAGCTGTATATGTTGGGAATGCAACAGCATGTACTATAATGTACTATGTAGTATTGTGTGTTAATATCACTTGACCAGTAGATGGCACTGTACACTAAAGGTTACTAGTTGTGCATATCTGAAAACTTGTTGGTTCTTTTTCTCTCTATCTTCAGGAAGTAACATGTCTGCTATCACTGCTGAAATGTGCTTTGTATGTTTGCAACTTAAGCCACACAAGTAAAGTCTGAATTCTGCCTCATCACTACCAGTGTCTTCTCTAACACATAACCAACAGTATATAGGCTTATCCAATATATATGATCATCTCCATCTAGATTACATATTGTATCTAAACAAAGAAGAATGCCCATGTAAAATCAATATAGACAGCATTGACGGAGCTGTTAAAAAACCATATTACTTTTTGTAACTGTGCAACGGCTACTTCCCAATACACACAAAGCCCAAGTCATGGGCGTTGCTGCAGTTATAAGCAAATTTCTGCTCAAAGTTTAAAGCCAATATCCAATTAAGGCACCCAATCAGCAGGTTTAAAGTGGTTGTAGACCTCAGACATGAAATATGAACAAAGCACAGATTTCTATAGTGTTTGCTTGCCTCTCTCCAATGCACTTTTCAAATTTCATTTCTCTCTGCTGTGTAGTTTCTCTGTTATCAGCATGAGTCACTTATGACAAATTTTCCTGACACCAAGAGCTAAAAAGGTGACAAGGGAGGGACCTCCAGCACACAGTCTGTGACTGACAGCCTCAACTCTGTTCCTGTGTGCTGTGTGAAGGTGGGGTGTATCCCTTCCCTCCAATCAGCTCTCGGAGCTCTTGGACAGTGTGTCATTGCAGCTCCCAGGATAGTGCAGTGGCGTGACGTCAGCACTAGAATCTCCTCCCCGATGCATTTTGACCGATAGGACGTTAAAATCCTGGGTCGGCAGCAGCTTTGCATGAGAATATGTTTAAGTCTATTTATCTGATTGTTCATGGATTGAATTTTAATAAATACTACACTATTGAAGAATATTCTGCTTCTGGTGAGCTTTTATTTAGCCCAACTTGGTTCCATTGAGGAGGACCATTTGGAGGCAGATTTGATTGAATATTCCACATACACATGATTCCTGGCACGTTCCATAGGCATTCATGGTTTTGTTATTTCAGTCATCTGTTCCGGTGAATGTTGCATCCACAGGGAGACACTGGCTAGTTTTTGAACACTGTATTGGAAGAGGGTTCACTTCATTGAAGGTGCTACATGGACCTTACAAGGACCTTTATTTGGACTTTGCACTTATTTACGTTTTTTGGAGAGGTTTTTTGATTTCACGTCTGAGTTATTGATGCAATTTAGCTTTGGTGGCGCTGCACTTTTCTGTTTTACAGGTTTTTAATGGTTCGATATACTACCTTTATGAAAGCTGCCACAAGTTTAATTATTTTTCCACAGTGTGGATAAGTTTATAAATATATATATATATATATATATATATATATATATATATATATATACCATTATAAATACCGGTACCTTTTTTGTTTCCTGTTTTATATATATGATCCTTATGCAGCTGCGAACAGAGAGCTGGGGAAGGAGAAACAGCAGAACAATAAACTTCCCAGTGAATGGCTGTGCAGAGTGGGTGAGCAGATGTATGATCATTGGAGGAGAGCAGGCTGAGTTTTCATAAAAGCTAGAGAACTGACCACATTGAGCTCTTATGCCTACTGTGGTCAGTTTTTGATAGGAAACCAGAGGGACTGGCAGGAACGCCAGGAATTTCACACAAAGGAAGTGCATGGTACAGCAGGCACATATCAGGAATATGAAATGTTGGGTTTACATATTCTTAAAATCATAATTTGATCTACATGCTTGCTCTTGATCAGTTACTCAAGAAGCAATGTAACCAAAGGACCAACATGGCTGCTCAGGAAGCAGGAGGTCAGCAATGAACGCATTTCTAATTTTTGGATTAATTATTTACAATGAGTCAGAAAAAAAATTAGAACCCTCACTTTAAGACATAGAAAGGCAATTGGTGTCCCTAAAGAAAAAAAAATCAGCTCCAAACTATAAGACGGTCTTGGTCTTATGATCCTGTCCTGAATGTGCATGCTTATTTTCCCACAATCCATCCTGGGTTTGGCTTTCCACAGTGGCCGAGGCTGTTCATAAACAGAAAGGCCTGAGTCATCTGAAAACGTAGAAAACATGTGGTGTAAAGTGTAGCTGAATGGAGGACAAAACCACAATGTTTTCAAATTATGTTAATTAAATCAAAACTATTAAAACTTTCCACTGGCAGGAAATCTTGGGAGCTATCCATTTCTGTAGGCCTACATAATTGGATTTTGTTCCAAAAATGGCTTTATGTTGGCTCCGAGGCCCATTTTAGATGTGGAAATTTTCTGCTCTGTAGTTTTGGAAAAAATCTATCGTGAATCAAAATTCTTGTGTGAAAAGTCTCAGTGAAGCTGATTTTGTTCAGCTTCACCTCCCTGGAACTAGCACATGGCCTGAGAACCAGAAAATGGCAGCTTTTCAGTGAAGCTTTTCACACAAATGTTTTTAGTTGTTTCAGATTATTTTGTATTAGAACTAAAATAACCAACTTTTTCTCGATGTCTATAGTAGTAGAAATGGTTCTAATTGTTGTGGTTAGAAATTATCAGCACAGTGGTGCTTAGTGTCCTTATCTAGAGGTTATGCACAATGTCTAAGAGGCTAGAACTTCCACCTAGCAGCACTAGGGTCATTTTGGTTCAAATCCCAACCACAGCTCTATGTGCCTGGAGTTTTCATGTTCTCTCTGTGCCTGTGTGGGTTTCCTCTGGGTACTCTGGTTTCTTCTCACATTCCAAAGACATGCTGGTAGGGAAATTGGCCCTAGTATGTGTATGTATGAATGTGAGTTAGGTAACTTAGGTTGTAAATTCCTTGAGGTTAAGGGACTGATGTGAATGTACCTATAATAAAATATGGATTTAGAGAAATACATGTGAAAAATCTTTTGTAACGTTTCCAAATTTAAACTTCTGTGCTCGCCTTCACTTCTACCTGTAGGTCTCACTGCAGGGAGCTCTGAGCCATGCAAAAAAAAAAAAACCAGATGATACCTTGAATCACTACAGATGTGAATGTTCTTATTATTAACACTGGATGGTGCCATGTACATAGGAAGTATATGCTCTGCAGCACTAATAGAGACAAAAAAAATTTCCTACTTATGCTAGGATGCTAAAATTTAAATAATATCCTTCTTTAACCTCCCTGGTGGTCTGATTATTTCCGATTTTTGGTGCTGAAAGCGGTACCATTTTTTTTGCATGGAAATATGTAGTTTTTTATTGTAGGCCTGTAATTTTTAGGAATAACTCACTGAAATCTGTCCGAACAAGAGTCTAGTAAACATCCCGGGTAGGATAAAACTTGAAACACGAAATCATAAATTATAATTTAATTAATAATCATAAAAAATAATAATATAATAATAATAAATTTAATTCAATAATATAATCAAACCAAAAACACTGAAATTTGAAATACAGAGGCAAATTCGCACATCGCTGAGCAAAGTCGCAAAATCGTTTTCAGTGTCTGATGACGAATTTCCCCACGAATCATTATCACTCAATTCTGCAAGTGGTTCTGATTTACTATCGCTGTTCTCTAGCTGGTCTAAAACCGATTTTGACTTAAAGGGACGCTTTTTGGACGCCATGGACTTTTCTAAGTTTCCAGGCAGAAAGAACAGTCAAAATGTAGGCAGGGCACAGGACAAAGCAGTAGGGACAAAATATATGTGAAATGCATTGAAACAGCAATGTTTTGCTATATAATAATAATTTTTTAAAAAATTTAATTTTTTTTAAAATTTCAAATTTGCCGCCTGACGTCACAGGGACCGGAACACAGAAGCTGGATGCCGGCATCGGCCGGAGGAGATGGCCGGGGACGCTGCAGGGGACACATCGCGGGAGCAAAGGACAAGGTAAGTGCTGCAGGGACTCCCTGAGCAACGCCGCATGGTAAGCCCGAGTGTAGCTCGGGGTTACCGCTCTTGGTACTGAAATTTTACCCCGAGCTACACTCGGGAATACCGCCAGGGAGGTTAACCACTTGAGCCCCTGGCCATTTCTGACATACCTCTCCTTTATGTAAAAATCAGCATTTTTTTGCTAGAAAATTACCCAAAACTCCCAAAATTTATATTATTTTTTAAGCAGAGGCCCTAAAGAATAAAATGGTGGGCGTTGCAATTTTTTATGTCATGCGGTATTTGCTCAATAGGTTCTTCAATATAATACCCCATTTTAGGTAAAATATAAAAGATGATACCAAACATGTCATGCTTTAAAACTGTGTACACTCGAATGGTGACAAACTATGGTACATTAAATTATCCATAGGTGACACTTTAAAAGCCTTTATATGCTAGTACTTTGATTTACACAGGAGGTCTGGTGCTAGAATTATTACTCTCACTGACGTTAGTGGTGACACCCCATGTGTGTGGTGTGATCTCTGCTGACGTATACATGTAGGACTGACGCATGCATTTGCCTCTGCGAGAGACCATGGAGGGAGACGGGGTGCTTTAAATATTTCTTTAATATTATTTATTTAATTTATTTACTTATTTATTTTTTACACTGCACTGTTACATTTTTTAAATCACTTTTATTGCTATCACAAGGGATGAACAACATCCTTTGTGATAGTATGGCCCATGACAGGTCCTCACAGACCCCAGATCTTTCCTATGGCCTCCAAAACAGCACATAAAACTGAGATCAGTTTAATATGCTGCTACACAAGCCAGCAATGGCTTGTAAACAAAGGAACCAAAGCCAGAAATGACAAAAGCTCTGTTGCTTCTGGTTTCTGATGTCACACGGTGGGAGGAACATGATTAGTTCTTCTCACTGTGTTCGGGGAAGATGATGCCATCGGTGGCATCTATACCAGGCTCCCCGATTGCTTGCTTTTTAGCTGCTAGGATTACTTTTACAGTAAAGGGAATTGCTGGCAGAAGAAAATGATATCTCGATCGTTGCTGCAGCGATGACCAAGATATCCCCCTTCCATGTCTCTACTCGTACTGGTACGTCGTTGATCGGCAAATGGTAAAAGGGTAGAAGTTGCCATTTAGGCATGCTACAACCTCCTCCCCACCACATAGTGCAAGCCACTTGGTCTGATAATTATAAAATTACCTCTGCGCAGGTGGGGGGTTGTCAGATTTTGTCTGATTATAATCAGAGGAGCAGGCTAACTTCCCAGCACAGCTAGAAAACTGACCACGCTGTGCTCTCATGCCTAGTGTGGTCAGTTTTAATAAGAAAGCAGAAGGACTGGCAGGAACACCAGGGATTTAACACAAAGGAAGCAATACAAACAAAACAGGATAGTTTATCATACACGTACATGGTACAGCAGGCACATATCAGAAATATAATGTTTGGTTTACATATCCTTTAAGGTTGTTCCTGCTATCTGACACTTCCAGGATTTCTTTACTGGATGATACATCACTACTGTGTCCTGTAGCCACATGGCAGGTGTGGCAATAAGGAACCAGGTATCTGACAGTCCCAAAGTGTTGGATAGCAGCTGCCCTTCTAACTTTGGTGAGCAAACACTGGACTAGCCAACTGGCCGTTAGGTAAGTATTGAGCTTCATCTTTTTGAGCTTCAGTCTCAAGCTTTTTCCCACCTGCTTTAAAAACTGGTGAAAGTGCTAAAAGTGTTTATTATGTGTGTGTATATATATATATTATATATATATATATATATATATACCTATATATACACATACATACACACACACACACACTATATTGCCAAAATTATTTGGATGCCTGCCTTTCCACGCACATGAACTTTAATGGCATCCCAGTCTTAGTCCATAGGGTTCAATATTGAGTTGGCCCACCCATTGCAGCTATAACAGCTTCATCTCTTCTGGGAAGGCCGTCCACAAGGTTTAAGAGTGTGTCTATGAGAAGGTTTGACCATTCTTCCACACATACTGTTTTGCGTTTAGGCCAAAAAATTTAATTTTGGTCTTATTATTATTAATAACATTCTCATTATTATACAGGATTTATATAGCACCAACAGTTTGGCATTACAGTTACAACACAATTTGGTACAAGAGGAAACAGAGGGCCCTGGTCATTAGAGCTTACAATCTAGGAGGAAGGGTTGAGTGATACAAAAGGTAATAGCTGTGGGGGATGAGCGGATGGAGGAAATAAATTGCAGTTTACTAGGTAAAAGCAGGATAGACTTCTTTAAAGAGGAAGGTTTTCAGGGATCGTCTAAATTTGGATAGATTAGGAGATAGTTGGACAGATTGGGGTAGGGAGTTCCATAGGATGGGAGAAGTTCGGGAGAAGTCCTAGAGGTGAGTATGGAAAGAGGTGACACGGGAACTAGAGAGCAGAAGGTCTTGGGAGGATCGAGGAGAGTGGTTTGGTTGATATTTTGAGACCAGGTTGGTGATGTAGCTGGGGGCAAAGTTGTGGATGGCTTTGTAAGTTGTTGATAGTATTTTTTTAAAATATATAAAATATATGTATATATTAGTTTATCTTAATTCGGAGGTTTTTTTAATTGGTACCTTATAGAATGCAGCATAGCTGAATGCTCCTGGCTGTGACCACAAAGGTCTGGAAAAGTAAAAATCTGAAGCTTGGCGTCTACATTTATATTTATAAGTGACATTTCAGGCAGTTATTATTCTAGGGGTATTCACAGTGCATACAAGGAAAAATAAGAAGTGAGTGACAGAAACAAGTTTTAGACCAGCATCACATGGAGAGACACTACACTCTGTCATGGACTTGTTAGTGTTCCCGAGGTTGAAGCTTTTCCCTTCTGACAGATCAATCAACTTTTTTAGCACTGTTGTCAGTTTTTTTTTTCTATAAGATCATAAAACTTAACAAGACACAAGTGGCAGAAGGGGTTTTATTTTTTTTAGATACTATTTCCTTTATTTGAAAAGTGACAGGGACATTGATTGGGAGTTCACAAACCCCTCTTTTGCCCCTTTTAAGCAGCAGCTAGATTTGCTACTGTCCTTAAATGAGCTGAAGTTTGTTTTAACAGCTGAACTCCAAGCAGAAAAACTTTCATTCAGATATATTTCTCAATAGCCACAGAGGTGTGAATCAACTTTGTGTGCACCATATGGCTTTGCAAACCCAGATATTACCTTGTAAATGAAGTGTTGACATCACCACTGGGCTGCACATAATGTGTGTAGAGAGCAGAGCTGTGGCAGGGACCCAGGCTGCTTCCAGTAAACTACAGGAGGGGGTGGAGACAAGACCAGTCACCATGCAAGGAGAGAAAGCAACAGTGACTGGTCTGTTTTACAGGAAACTCCTGCACAAGCACAGAAATGGTTTCATACTAGAATACTGAACAAATCTGATAGGAACACACAAAGGACACCATGATTCAAGTAAAAATACACATGGCTCTTGTATTTAGAAAATGACTTAGCCTGGAAATATCGGTAGTTGACGGGACTGGATTCTAATCGGGTGACCACTGTGACAGCCAATAACAGTGGTCACATGATCGCCGATCTGATGGGGTTAATATAAATAAATTGCATAAAGTATATACATACTGTACATCTTTGCTTTGTGAATAAACATTTAATACCTAACAAAGAAGTGCATTTTGGGAAATTAAAATATATTAGAATGTAAGCTCTAACAAGCAGACCCCTTGTCTTAAATTGTTATGTAACTGTAGTTATGTCTCCCTTTATTGTGTAAAGTGCTGTGCAAACTGTTGGTGCTAAATCCTAACATTAGAAGACGATCTTGCTTTGAGACTCCCTTTGTATTATTGAAACCCCAGACAGAACCATCTGATATAAAATGTTTTGCTGCTCTGATCTTGTTGAGTTCTGCATACAGGGTGTTGCAATCAGCAGAGCTGAAAAGAAAAGTAGTATACATGATGTTAAAAGGAGAAAAAGCTCCCCCTGCTGGTTGAATAGAAGACTGAATAATTTCAATATGCATTATTTCATATTTACCGGACCAAAAAAAAGGAAACATTTATTTGCAAGGTCATGGTACAACTCCAAATTTCATTAGCAGATGGAATCAGTTCCCTCTTCCAGCAAAACCCAGAAGCTATGCACAGGGGTGGCTCTAAAAAAACAGATAGGTCTGTAACTTTCACAGCCACCTCCCCATATATAGTCTGCTATAAAAGAGCTTGATGCTCTTTGGGAAGGTCAACCAAACACTTGTGTATCTGGCTCCCAATGACCCCTTACATGTTAGTAGGAATTTTGTGTGTAATAGTATATATATATATATATACACACACACAGTATCTCACAGAAGTGAGTACACCCCTCACATTATTGTAAATATTTTATTCTATCTTTTCATGTGACAACACTGAAGAAATTACACTTTGTTACAATGTGACGTAGTGAGTGTACAGCTTGTATAACAGTGTAAATTTGCTGTCTCCTCAAAATAACTCAACACACAGCCATTAATGTCTAAACCGCTGGCAACAAAAGTGAGTACACCCCTAAGTGAAAATGTCCAAATTGGGCCCAATTAGCCATTTTTTCTCCATGGTGTCATGTGACTGGTGTTAAAAGGTCTCAGGTGTGAATGGGGAGCAGGTGTGTTAAATTTGGTTTTATCACTCTCACTCTCTCATACTGGTCACTGGAAGTTCAACATGGCACCTCATGGCAAAGAACTGTCTGAGGATCTGAAAAAAAAAACAATTGTTGCTCTACATCAAGATGGCCTAGGTTATAAGAAGATTGCCAAGACCCTGAAACTGAGCTGCAGCACGGTGGCCAAGACCATACAGCGGTTTAACAGGACAGGTTCCACTCAGAACAGGCCTCACCATGGTCAACCAAAGAAGTTGAGTGCACATGCTCAGCGTCATATCCAGAGGTTGACTTTGGGAAATAGAGGTATGGGTGCAGCCAGCATTGCTGCAGAG